GTTCTGACTTTTTCCACTATCACTGATGAAAAGAAAATTTCACAAAATGCTTAAAAATGATCTTATTACATATTGGTAGGGAAATGAAATGTCATAAATGTTTTCCCTAAAGATATTTGATTTCTATTTATTTTTACAAAAGAAAAAGTTAGACAACTTAAAGAGCTTCAAGATAAAAAAAATAAGAGAAAAATTCCATTAAATATGAGGGCTTAACTAGTTTTTCAAACTCTGAAAAATTCCTAGAAAATAAAAAAGAAAGGAAAATCTCGATCCTGACCGTTCCTTGACCAATGTTCTTACCCTAGAAGGTTCATAGAAGTTCGAACTTCTTTACACGCACTTTTCACACTCATTCAAAGAATTTTTTTCTTCTTCTTTTTTTTCCAACTCTTACGGCAAATTTTTCCATGGAAAAAAAATGCCAGAATGAAAGGAAAAAAAAGTTCAGAATGGGTAGAAATTCTTTGCATTCTGTAATCGGAGCTCCAGAACGTTGGAGTAGTTTTCTTCTGCAGAAAAAAGGAGCCCAAGTCAGAATTCACAAAAATCCATCTGAAAAATATTCTACTTTTTATTTTTTGGTTGTTTATTTTCGTTCTTGATGGCCGGTGAAAGGGAAAAAAAGGAATACATATCTGGCCTACACTAGCTTAGCACTGGTGTGTTAACATTTCGAACGTTTTTCCTTTCTTTCCTTTATGACGCCTTAGATTTCTTATTTGAGTCGAAATGGATGTTGTGTGCAACGGAACCTGTTATGGAACAAGTTTCAGTTCTGACAACAGATGGGGTGATATCATGTACTTTAGGGATTTCAGGACTTCTCTGAAAATCTCCATAACATATAGATATTTTTATGCTAAAAGTTATCTACGAAATATCGTTTGCTTTTTATATGTTTGTTATTATCCTTCAGAAAAGAACCAAGACAGATTTTATAAATAATACAGATTTTAGAAATACTGATTTTATGTGAGATCATTTATGAGAGAGATAACAATACTTTGTGAGAGAGGTAACAATACTACTTATCTGAAAACTAAGCACATTTGAGCATTTTATAATTAATAGATGTTACATGCATAAAACAAGCATTCGATTTTCAGAAATTAATATTATGTGTAGTAAAAATATGTCACCGCTGTGTAGTAAAGGCAAGTATTGCAATAGTAAAAACAAGCCATATCTACCTGTGTTTTAAAAGAAGTAGACTTAATCTCTCTCTCTCATATCTTTATATAATATAAGAAGAGAGTGGAATGATAACACATAGCCAATCACAGAAGACATCTGGTTAGTAACGCACAAAACAGCCAATCAAAATTGAGAACGCATGTGTGTGAAAAGGTAATAATTTTTAATAATGCTGCCTGTAGAAATGTTACAACTAAATTTACCAGCTAAAGCTTGTTGCGATTTTTATTTGTATCGAATGTGTGAAATATATTGATCAGAGTTTACTTAAAAATACTCATATCTTTGTTACATAAAATGGATCGCCATGAATATCTTAGACGTGAATATCTTTTACTTACTTTTAATTGTTTTTTACTTACTTTCAAAAAATTGTTCAGCCGGAAATATTAATTAACAGTTCATATTTCTTTGAGATATTTCTTAAATAATGCATAAAAGTGCAAATCATTCGTACACAAAATGATGCAGAAAAAATGCCTTTTGAATCGAAACAAAAATTAATGGAGTAAGCACAGAAAGAAAAGGAAAAAAACAACAACTCACTTCTTCATTAAGCTTGAACATCCTTAGACTTAGGTGCACAGAATTCTCTAATGGCAGTTAGATACTGTCTAAATGTATCATGAATAGAATAGACATTTATCATGTGTACCTCAATCGCCGCATAAATTCGGCGAAATACGAATCGAAAAAGGCGTCTGTGGTACCGGACTGGCGGTGACAATTTTTTCTAAAGTCCCTTTTTATGACTGCCCACATACCTTCGATCTTATTGACCAGAAGCAAAAATTACCTTACCAGTCGGTATCTAATGTAGAACTAACGGACTTCTGAAATTACATATACCATTGAACATTTAAAACTAACGCTGAAATCTAAACCAATCAGAATCACGTTTGGGTTTCAACATCGCCCAGCTTGGCGATCAACCGCGATCACAACTTGGCGAGAATCCAGGGGCACCCTCAAATATAGTATAACCAAAAAATTGAATTGCTTAATTTAATTTTGCGAATTTCAGTTACGTATGTTTTTATTTCATAATTTGCTTTTTGTCTGATAGAAACTAAAATATTTTGTCAGTCAACAGTATTGAAGTTAATTAGGCAATTACTTGCAATTGTATTTGCTTTCGAAATATTACTTAGCATTAACTTATTAATATTACATGTTTCAATTTGTTTGCCATATTTTAAAGTTTTTTCATCAGGTTTTAATTGTTTTCAGTTTGAAATTTATATTTCTGGGTGGATGGGGGGGAAGATAAAGCATCCTATAACATCAACAATCATTTTAGTTAGGCTCTGCCATACGTGTTTCGGATACGGAGATTAATCTCCGGCTAATGCCCTATAGTAATGTGTTAAATAATATTGCTTCCTCACTTTATATAAGTTTATAATATTGTTTGCATTAAAATTGCTTTATATAAGTTTATAATACTGATAATAAGCACCTCTGAGATTTTACAATCCTATAATATTCTCTCTACGTGATGTTGGTGCAGAAGAATTGCCAGCAAATCTCCAGGAAAACGACTCTAAGTTTGTTCGCGAAGGGAACAAAAATGTAATTGCGTAGCAATTATCGGGGGATGGCGAGCGGTAGCGAGCAGGGGACTGAGCCCTCTCGTGTATATATATACCCAGTTTTACGTTGCCCGTTTCGTGATTTATCCCCGCTTCCTATGTAATTTTCTGCTGATCCGTGAAAANTTCGGTCTTTCGCCGTGACATATATTGACATATGTTTTAGGACACAGGGTGGTCCTAAAACATATGTCAAAAATGTAAAGGTATGTAGAGGGGACCTAAATAAGCATATTTCGTATAGGATTGTGTGTGCGGTAATGCCGCCTTGAGCCGGTAGGGAATCGAATTTTCTTATGTCTTTACTTGTCTTTTCAGTTTCCTTCGATTCATACTGCTTTACAAGCTAGTGCTTTAATGTGCCATTACCACACACACAATCCTATCCGAAAGATGCTTATTTAGGTCCCCTCTACCTGCCTTTACATTTTTGACAGATATTTTAGGACCACCCTGTATAACATATATACCCGGTTTTACGTTGTCCGTTTCGTGCGTTATCCCACTTCCTATGTAATTTTCTGCTGATCCGTGAGAACTGCATACACTGATAATGTTAAATTATCCCTTACGTTATCCTTTTTATGAAGATCCTTAAGATTTTTTTTTCTACACAGCTCGCACAAACTTCTCTTATTTTTTTTCTAAAAAAAAAAGACTTTATCAGCTTTTTGTGACTTTCCCGGCAATCTTCTATTCTATCTTATCGTTCTTTTGTCTGTTAGAGGGGATTTTCCCCTTCAGTCGAAATCAGAAGGGTGGTGGGATAGCCAAAGTAAGTGAAGGTTTGTTAGAGAAAGCCTAGGATCCTAAATTGTATAATTTGCTAGTTAAATTTTTTTATAGCAAGCTTCAACCCTCTAATCTTATAATTATCCGAACATTTAAAGAAAGTTACACTAAACAATTGGTTAGATAATCATTTCTTTTTCTTAATTTCGATGACCAGCAAGATGCTTCTAAAGCAAAGATGAAATGTTCTAGAATCTCTAAGTTTGTAGAATCCCATCGCGTTGGACAGCGTCTTTTAAAAATGAATTACCAATGGGTTTAATAAAGCTTCTCGGTATAATTGCTTCTTGATATTCAACTGGAACATTAGCCCTTTGGAGAAAGAGAATGTTTGAAGACGATTCGATATATATGACGCGTATATTGACTGCAAAACACATCCCATTACTTTTCAATTCTTTCAATATCTGATTTACCGCCTTCTTCTGATGATGGTGATGAAAATGAGCAAAAATTATCGGAGGTAATGTATCAGTAACTCCCAACTGATCTCGAGTTTGAAAGCATAAAAACCATAAAGCAAATTTGCAAGCAATTGGGTACTTGCACTTCTAGAAGAAGAAGAACTTCCATATCCACACACGTGACTACGATGTCAGCGCCAGCTAATCTTTATCAGCAAAATAGTGCATTAAAACAAAATGGCGCTTATGTAGATTTAGCAAAATGGCGTATTGCTTATCGCACATCGAATTAGTTAAAACATAATTCTTTCTAGTGTACTTCTTCTACTTAATTTAGACTTATTGTTTGCTTATGTATTTTATTGTAACCATGATAAAATTTCGTTTTGTGCACGTGGCAACTTCGATACACATTTAGTTTGTTTATGTTTTACATGGCTTCGTGCCTGTCTTTACGTTTAGTATTCGTGTAAATATATAGTGAAAGAATTGAAATCTTTGGAAAAAATCTTTGTGAAAGAATTTAGAATGTGTCACTTAAAAGAAATTGATACCTGACGAGCTTGGCATTCTCGAAATAGAATGGAAAGAACAGTTGCTAACGTAAGCAAATGCCGCTTTTCAACAACCAATTAGGATCGAGATACTCAACTACGTCACTTGCAGGTATCCCAATTTAAGCATTGAGAGCTATATTGTTGAAATTGTATCTAAAAATGAAAAAAAAGCATTTAAAGATTACACGTTTTTTTAGTAGTTCATCTCGTAAGTATAAATTTTTGAAAAATATACATCGTTTTTTTTCTACCTTGTTTGATGGAAAATGTAAAATCGGGTTTCAACTGTATACAAAGAAATCTACGTAAAAGATTTTTTATCAATGGTATCCGCTAACGAAGACGTTTTATAAATTGCTCTTAATAAATTCATAAGAAGAAATAAAATTTTATAGTTTGCATAAGCATATTAAACATTGAGCTATTTTAATTAAAGAAAACGTTGTGGTGATGAAAGTGGCTCGTATAAAAAAAAATTAAAGTTCTTTTGTCCATTTTGTAGGCTATTTTTTAAAAAAATAAAGCTTTGTTTATCACTTTTTGCTAAGTTTTTTTACTGCTAAAAGTGACTTTTGCTGAAATGGTCCATTCTATGCAGCACGCGGTGAGAAATCTCACATTTCTTCGGTCATGTATCCTGAAGCTATCATCCCAAAAATTCCATCGTAGTTTTCCTATTCAAACCGCTGAGGTTTCAAAACCTGCGCCAAATTTCGCAGTCACTGCAGTTGTGAAAAATAAATTCGAGGACATTAGATTGACAGATTACAAAGGAAAGTACGTTGTTCTGTTGTTCTATCCACTAGATTTCACATTTGTCTGTCCAACAGAAATAATTGCGTTCAGTGACAACGCTGAAGAATTTCGTCAGAAGAACGCTGAAGTTTTGGCTGTTTCGGTTGACTCACCTTACTGCCACTTGGCTTGGATTAATACATCTCGTAAAGAAGGAGGATTGGAATCTATAAATATACCTCTTCTATCTGATTTAACAAAAGAGATGGCCAAGGACTATGGAGTTTTGCTTGATGCTGGTATGGCTTCAAGAGCTTCATTTATTATAGACAGAGAACAGATAGTTCGCCAAATAACAGTAAATGATAATGCAATTGGCCGCTCAGTGCAGGAAACTATGCGCCTAATCGATGCTTTGCAACATCATGAAAAACATGGAGAAGTGTGCCCGGTTGATTGGACGCCAAACTCTTCTACTATCAAACCTGATCCAGTTGGCGCTAAAGCTTATTTTGGGAAGATTAATTATTAAAAATTCATTCACTAACCTTTTACTTGTGAATTATATGGTCAAAATCGATTTCTAAGCCTAACAGTCTGGAAATAAAGTGAAACTCTTTTATTTTAATTCATTTTACCTTAACATTTTGAGTGATTTTGTTAAAATACAAAGAACTTTACTAAGTGATCTCTACGGCCGCTAAATATTTTTGCTTGATTGGATGAAAAAGTTTGGCGCAAGAAGAAGCTATGTAAGCAATAAAGGCACAATGTAGCTTTTTTTTAAGTTTCAGCAAATAACTATATTATGGTAAACTTTTATTTTTACGAAAGGATTTATACTCTCGTAGAAGTTCCAAAAAAGATTACTATATTACAGTTGTTGGTGAACATTTATTAGGTTGAATTCATTAGTTGTTTAGTAAGGGAAGAACGTCTCAAATTCTTATAAAGGCAATTGCAGAACTTAGCAAAATAAATACAAAATAAAATTTCATGCAAATTTTGAGCATTTACTTAATTTTGAGCATTTTCTTACATTACACAAGTCTATCACAAATTCTTTAAAATTCAAAAGGGATTTCGTAAATCAAATAAATAAATAAAACTGCTCTTTTTTACTTTGTTCATTACACTAACCACATTTGGTGACTATCATGGCTGCCTACATGAAAGATATACCTTTTTCTAGAAATTTTATCAATTAATAAAATAAAGTTTAGTGCATTTATGCTGGATTTGTAATTTAAACTTATACCCCATTAATATATTATAAGTTAAAATTAAGAATTAAGTATATTTGCACTAAACTCATGCGAAAAAGTTAAGTTCATGAATTGCACTTGCTTTTTTACAGCAATATTAAATAATTCACTACTGTATGGAATTTCTAAGCGCATGCACGCTTTTAATTACTTGAGTTGAACATTATTCGAGTTATTCGTTAACTATAAATGTAAACTTCACAATAATATTGGCAATATTTAAAAAATTGGATTGAAACTTTTTTAAACAGTTAAATATCTACCATTTGATCAACCAAGTACCAATAATAAGGAGGAAAGTTAGGTAAAAAAACCCCACATTTTATAGGGAAATTACATTCATTTGAAATAAGTATAATTACTGAATTTGAAATATTTATACATTCATTTTAAACACAATACTTTTAGTACTAACTAGAATCGCAGTATTGGGGCAGGGGGCTAGTGCAGACAAAAGGAGTATTTCTGTTTATCATCACATGAAATTTCTCAGTAAATTTTAAGAGATTGAATAAACTGTGTTGTACTTTCATAAGCAGTTACATTGAGAAAATATTCATAACATGATATAGTTATAAATATTTTTGAGGTTCCAGAGTCTATATTTGGACTAGAGTAGTTCCATTTGGTTTCACTTATTTTTTTTATTTGCAATATTATTTAGTGAAACACAGTTTTAAGATGCGTTCGCACCATCCTTATGATATGGGCTTGTGTGGATAAAAAAAAATTAAAAAAAAAAAAAATTAAATAACTATACATCTATAACTATATATCGTTCAAAAGGAAAACGTTCAAATATTTTAATAAAAGAATGCTACAATATATATATATATATATATNAATGGATATTTCTTAATTATTCTCTTATATTTAATATATGACGAAACCGGGACGATTTGCACCCATCAAATTCTTAAAATTAGTTAAGTTAGAACAGAATTTCAAACTGACATTAAAATCAGTTGCCAATAATCGCCACAAACTACTGTTTTTGTATTGTACTACTCGATACACTATTCTTTGAAAAAATGCAGCACACTACACTACAAACTATGAAAAAAAGTAGATATATATACATATACAGGGTGATTCTAAAAAGATGGGTAAAATTTTAGGAAGTGATAATACACACCCCAGCGAACAATTTCTATCAAAGAATGCATGGTCGAAAACAAAACGCAAAGGAGCTGGCGCGTTTGGAAAGTTGTTTGATGTAAACGAAATGTATGAGACTCCCATTGAATCTGCAGAAGAACTTGTCGTCAAAGTTTCGTCGCTGCAGGGAAAGTTCGTGACATTCCTGGTGTGTTTCAGAATATTCGCCTATCCTTTCTTCGCCGTTGTACTGCTTGCATATTCGTTGCCGGTCACTGTTTTGAGCACTTATTGTAATCACATGCCATTAAATTTGCTTTCATAACTTAACTTCATCGTTCTTTGTGTGTTTTTGCCTCATATAAGAACATAAACTTTGACGCCCTCTCGCGGTTTTGCATTTTGTTTTCGACTATGCACCCTTTGATGAAAATTGTCTGCTTGGGTGTGTACTATCACTTCCTAAAAGTTGGCCATCTTTTTAGAATCACCCTGTGTATATATATATATATATATATATATATACTAGCTGACCCGGCAAACGTTGTTTCGCCATATGAATTATTTCTAGAGTATGAAAATATATCTTATTTATTGTAAGTGTGTGCGTATGTGGTATATGAGGGGAAGGGGCATGGAGCTCTGCGAACGATGACGGAATGTGAAAATAACAACATACCAAATAATAGTTTTTTTTTAATTTATTGTGATTTTCTTTTTTTAAAATTATGTATACAACGAATTCTGAAAATATTAGTCAACAATATTAATCTCTTAATGAAATTGAGTGAACAGAATTTTTTGTCATGCCATCTTTAGCAAACACAAATAAACTGGATGGTTTGCCCACTCGAGAGCATGCCACGTGTAATTGTCCGTGTGAAAACCATGGTGTGCTCAAATCTAAGACACAAACAGACATTGTTTGGCCTTGTCATTGCAAATGCCAATCTAATGGGGAACTGAATGCGTTTAAATTGAATTAGCACATCTCTGGGTATAATAGGGATTCGTGGAACTAATATACTTTCACCCCGGACTTTTGTCATTTAAAATAATGACTTCGATAACGTTCTTCATTAATTCTTTAACGACTAATCGCGTTGCACAGCCGTTGTGGGTTCAAATTACGAAGCAAAATAACCGGAGATCCAACTTTGAGTACTAAATTATGCGGTGATATGCCTGGTAAATCCAATGAGTTTAAAAATTCTGTTGGAAAATTTGCAGCTTCAATGGCATCGCAAACTGCATCAACGGACTTATATGGTACCAAGTTACTGGCAATAACTGTTATATCTTCAGATTCAATTCGTTGACGTCCACATTTTTAGCTGCTAAAATCTCCCTTTTTGCCAGCCACTCATGATGTATGTATTGTGTGTGTACATCAGAGAATATTAGGTTAATGAGAGCATCTTGTGAATCAATGATTGTGCAGAANAATTTTATGCATCCTGTCTCATCCTTGGTAACTTTTCCATCACCGATATCTAGCAATTGTTTTGAGAATGTTTCAGCAGATGGATCCTGAAGCATTTGGACTCGCATATTTACTGTTAGTTGAACTTTTTCAACATTATACCACAGTGGAGATGATTTCAAGCAAGCATTGATCTCATCAGCGTACGTTGAACGCTGAATGATGGGAAGTGTTTGTCTGAAATCACCTGAAAGGAGTATCTGAGTGTCGCCAAATAATTTGTCATTGTTTTTTACGTGCCTTTCAATGTCCTGTTCAACGCCTCAAGCGAATGTTTATGTGCCAAAGTGATAGATCCCAGATGATAATTTTGCAGTGTTTCAACACTGTGGCCATAGATGATTGCCTGTTTATGTTGCACACTGCGTCTAGGTTGTTTCGAATATTTAGTGGCAGCTTAAATACTGACTGAGCTGTTCTGCCTCCATCCCCATCCAATAAAGTTGCCGCAATGCTAGATGAGGCATCGGTCAACGTGATGCAATTATTTGATCGTATTTCAGCGAGAATCAGCGAAATAATAAATGTTTTGCCAGTTTCACCTGGTGCATCCAAAAAAAATCATCTTGTCCTGCCGAAACTGCGAGCATAATGCGTTCATAAATGTTCCTTTGTTTCTCATTCATTAGTGGAACATTGCGAGTAACAATCGCTGCCATTTCTACCGAATTGTATTGAAGTTCACGATTCATGTCAGTGTTTAATAAATCAGATGCACTTCTATTTGGCGAAGGCATACCGAAATGACTGAGTGACAAGTTGGCAATAATAATGAAAAGATCCTCAATAGCAATCAGTGCTTCATTGCACATAGCATCGCTGAATGCTATCGTTAGATTGTTGCAACGTGTGCGATGTTGATACCGTATATCATCAGGCATCGAATCTTTGTGATTATCCCATAGCGTTTCTATACGTGCCGGGAAACATGTAGTTAATACTACAGCGAATAGTAGACGATTTTGCTTTGCAGTACAGTTCAATGCTGCTTCAGCAAGCATGCTTTCCCACTGGTTGTCGTCTTCCAGCAAGCCGAGTGCAAGGCGTGCATCTTTTTACGTTGGATGTTGATGTCCATCGACTTTACGTATATCTTGAAATGACAATGAGCCGGTGACATTAACCAACAACAGACGGAAATAAAAGCACTCAGTCTGCCTTGGATTGACTGTAAATACTCTCCCCAAGGCGTTTGATTTAAATAAACTGGGACATGCATCAACCGGTGTGCCTTGCTTGCGGGGTGTCCATTTTTTTTTTGTTTGAGTCCATGCGAAATAGTGTGGTACTTCTGAGTAAAGTAATGTCCGTGCAAAGGCACCAAAAGCATCCGCACGATTACACAATTAAAAAAATTCGGTGAGTGTAGTTTTTGGGGGATTTACAGCTCGGTCTATCACTGTCTCGTTCGTGAAATATACTCTCTGATCGTTTTCAAAACGGATGGCTAAATGACTAACTTTTGGATCCCGTTCATTAATTGGGAACCCAAAGATACACCAAAGTTGTACAGCGTTATATCGTCGTTGTTGTTCACTGGAACAGCAGTCACATAGGTATTTTTAACTCGAAATACTGCCATATCACTGCTTTTATTCACATACTTGCAAATATATTTGATGCTCTTCTTTTAAGGGTTAGCATAAGTATTAGAGTTTAATATGACTTGTTGCAACGTGCGTGAATATTATTTTTGATTTATTATGTTTCTTTGTCTAGCTTGGATCCGAATACGATTAAATAAAGATATATTTAAAAATTACGTTAAATTTGTCCGAAAAATGAAAAAAAATTAGTTATAAACCTATTCTCAGACCTACTGAATATACATATAAAATTTCATCAAAATCGGTCAAGCTGTTTCGGAGGATTTTAAACACTAAAACTGCGACAAGAGATTTTTATATATATAGATAGAAAAAAGTTGATTTTCCTAAA